CTTGTCATAATGAACAAGCATGATGATACGTTGTAAAGGAATTTAAAATAAATTATTATTCTAATTTCCAATCACCATTAGAGGTATACCATAACCCCACACATGGCAGACAACTCTGGGGATCGCAATTAGATCACCGAACTTTTTGAGGGTGTAAGTCGAAAATTTAGGATACACTTTTTTTTTAATGGGGGAAAATCATCGAATGTACTCTCCCGCCTGGGTGAGGCGAGAGGGAGTGTCAGATTCTTACTGACTTAAAACCACTCCGTTCCTTCTCCTGCACGTCGAGCCGGAGCCCGGTAACCCGTTAGGTTCTCCACGACTCCGAATCGGCACCTATTGAGCCCCATCCATGGTGGTCTGATGGCTCTTTGAGAAGGGCGCGGAACGCGACGCGCTGTGCGCTCGGGTCTGGTTCTGGTCGGGCAGCGAGTCACCCATGCTCGCCGTCCGTCCGCGGTGGCCGGAGATCGTCACGCGATCAGATTTAGGATACACTAAGGTCTCTTTGCCAACACAGTAATCTATATCTATATACTATAAAAATGAATACCTTTTTCCCTTGATCACGCGTAAATGGCTGGACCGATTTCACTTATTCTTTTTTTTTGTTGTATTTGTTACTATGAGGTGTAGGAGAGGGGGAGAAAACGGGATTGCGCGTACGCAATCTGCAGGCAGAAGCTAATAAACGATACAATAAAAAATGTACATGCAGTGTCATCTCAAACTCAAAATAAACTACCTTTTTTTGAAGATACATGTCGCAGATTTAGGATGCGCTGAAGCCGCTTTACCAACACACAGTAATAATAATATAAAACGTTACAATAAAAAATGTGTATGAATTGTCTTCCCAAACTCAAAATAAACTACCTAAACCCAAAAACATGCTAATAAAAATACGATATGAACCCAAAATGTGTATACCTACGGCATTTCGGTAAGCAAATATTTGTGTAAATATTTTTCAAAAGGAGGTAGGTTATTGAACCTGAAATATGTTTAACATGCTTGCTATAAATTCAAAGGTTTTAATTTCAAGGTCAAAGTCAAAGAATTTATTTCAATGAATCCTTAATTAGGCACCTATGAAACGCCAAATTGAATTGTATGTACGTCTGTCTGTCAGTGAAGCTGCAAGCAACAAGAAACTCCATGATTCCAAAGGAGTAGACAGAGATAAACAAATTTGCCTTTAAAATGCAAAATTATTATCATTTTGTAGTTTATAGAAAGTTTGACATAAAGAAATCGCTTATTAGTTAGTGGAGAAATGAATAAATTAGATAATTTATTAACTTTTATATCGATGACATCTTTTTATATTAATATCCTACTAACACTGTTCTTGTGAAAGTCACTGTTTGTGTCAGGAGAAAATAAATAAATAAATAAATAATAAATAAATAAATCTTTATTCATAATAACAATGGCCAACATAGGTAAAAAAATATCTTAGTTAAGCGACAAGATCTTAAAAAGTAATATGCCTGTACTAGGAATATTCCTGTGTCACAGGCGACAGGAGCTCTAAAATTATGTTAATGATGAGACAAGTTATTTATAGTTTAAACAAAATATTTAACACAATTTTCAGTAGTAAGGTAGGATTGTTTTTAAATATACTATATATATATATATATACATCACACCTTTTATTATTCCCTGAAGGGGAATAAAATGTTGTACCTACATAAGTTATTTATTAATAATCAGTAACATATACTTACACTTAAATAAACCACGTAAGCTATATTGAAATAAATTGTTCTAACGGTATATTTGTTGCTAGACTGATTGTAGTTCAATCTCCAGGGCTCCAAAAGTGCACATACATAGTAAACAATGTAATAGGAATAGTGGCTAACGTTTTTTGCGCACCCGATGACGCTAATGTAGAAGTGGTATTATTGTCCAATTACAGCAGCTGTGAAGATATTGAACAACCAATGATGTGACACTAGCTTATTCCTTATTGGACGAAGAACAAGAATCCACTAGCACCACCTGGTGAGTATAAATATGGTAGGCCCCATTGTAAGTAGGATTACTCACGTTCAATCTCCAAATCTCTTAATTCTCAAAACGCTTACCCCGAAAAAGCCAACGCTTATAATTCCTTTGGAGTTTCGGGTGTCCATGGGTGGTGTCGATTGCTTCCCATCAGAGGGCATACGAATTTGTTATACATTTCACGAGATCAAGACATTGCCACGTTGGGCGCTCTGGGGGCTTACTCTTGAATCCAATACCGATTGTTCGACTTGGTATTGTTATATCGCACTCTCGAGTTGCAACACCAGCGCCCATTGTTAGGTTCTCCGCGACAACTGAATAGTACTGAGTTTCGCTTTATATTCCGTACTCTGAATGCTATTTTGACAGCTACGATTGGGGTTGTATAGCGTTGACATTGAATAATTATTGAGATTTTATTGGATTGAAATTGAATTGACATTGAGATTGGTTTCAAGAGTAAGCACCCTGATTGGTCTGTTCCTATGAACCTGGTTCTGTCCTCACATTGGTTATACTGACCGGCCGTAACGTTACGATCTCATAAAATGTACAACAAACTAGAACTAAATCCTCAAGTGATCCCCATGACATAAAAATCTCTAATAATATACGTAATTTTTCCGACCCGGGAATTGAATTTCAACCCATCTACATACATATTTCTTACCACATAAACATAACCATATCCATTTGTGACGACCACTTAACCAACAAAGCAATAGGGATGATTACAGGATATGAAAATTATAGATATATTTAGTCTGTCAGTTAAGTAAGGAAATAATAAGACACGTATTTTTTATTTTTAATATAAGAATAAAAAATAATATAAAAGACTTAGATAAAACGAATCAAAGTTTAAGAGTGGAAGCTAAAACGTCATTTCTACGTATAAAACGCACTTAGAAGTGACGTCACGCGATATTTTAAATCAATGTATCGTCGGAAGTACTTGTTTCAATAAGAAAATAAAAAATATGAGTCTAATGTTTTAAAATAATCTACATGACGGGAATAAAAATAAAAATTAGTCATCTACCCTATTGTCTTAGTAATATAATGAAATGTATATCTGAAAACACAGAAAATAAATCTGTAATTTATATTATTTGTATAGGACAATGCTTGGGTCTACAGACCCAATAGGAATACATTCCCAAGGTCCCAAATAAACAAAAAAAAAACAAATGTTCTGTTTCGAACCCTAACTTCGGTAGAATGTGATAGCAATGATAAAACGTAAGAAATTTTTGTTTTGTCTTCCAGCCTCTGGCAAAATAAAGGATCTAAAATTAAAACATAACATCACGCATTTTATCCCCGAAGGGGTGGGCAGAGGTGTACATTATGCCACTGTACAATGTAACACTCACTTTTCACCATTTACGTTATGAGTCCCATGTAATAGGGGGTGAGCCTATTGCCATATACCGGGCACAATTCCAGACTCCGTGCTACTACTGAGATTTTTTTAAAGACCCAGTAATACTTTGCCCGACCCGGGAATCGAACCCGAAACCCCATGTCCGGCAGTCACACTTGCGACCACTCGGCCAATGAGGCAGATCTAAAATTGTAGATAAAAAAGAGATATCTGTGACAACACCGGGAGGAAACTGTGCTTTTTTTTTTAGAAAAACGTTTAAATAATAGACGAACGATTAAATCCTTGTATGGGACTAGGGGACAAACAGAGCAGACGGATCGTCTGATGGTAAGCCGATCCACTTCATGGTAAATGTACCCACACGCATGAAGCACTTCGCATCAAGCTTCCTTCTGCGTACCGCTAAGGAGTGGAATTCTTTGCCAGAATCTGTATTTTCTGAAGGGTGTCTTGAAGACCCGAGTGAATAGGTTGGACGACGTGCTCCATCGTAGACCGCACCATATCGCTTACCGCCACGTGAGATAATGGAAACGTCGGCCCATCAAATATATATAAAAAAAGCAATCGGCGCCACTACTTTAGGAAATGGTGTCTGGACCTTGAAACCTTACAAACGTGTCAAAAGACAACGCAAGCGTTGTTTTACCAGATGGAGCCCAGTAGGGCTGATTTCCGATACGGAGCCGCGGAAGGCCTTTTTTTTTTAAGGGGAAAAATCATCGAATGTCTGCTCCCGCCTGGGTGAGGCGGAAGGGATTGTCAGACTCTTACTGACTAAAAACCACCCCGTTCCTTCTCCTGCACGTCGAGCCGGAGTAGGAACTACCCGTTAGGTTCTCAACGGGTTGCCGAGTCTGGCTCGGAGAGCAGGAGAAGGAACGGGGTGGTTTTTAGTCGGTAAGAGTCTGACACTCCCTCTCGCCTAATCCAAGGCGGGAGAAGTAAGAGGATGTTTTTTCCCTCCTTCAAAAAAAATCGTTGTTTTACGCAATTTTCCTGCGAAGCCGTGGCTATATTACTCCGGTTGAGACGGCGCCCACCCATTTTTGCCGAAGCATGGCATGAAATAAAATGAAAATCATTTAGAACAAAAGACTTTAATGTAATTGAAGTACCTACATAGATATATACATAAATACTTAATGTGAAACTAATTTAACTCGTCGAGTACCGTCATTATAGACACAATTATAGAACAATAGGTTGCGGTCACCGGTGACCGCTTGGTGTTTGACAGTTTAAGTCATGTGCTCACTTTAGAATAAGGTACGATGGGGTTGGCATATCCTAAATGGATAAAATAAAAACCCCAATACATTTATTTATACTTAAGTAAATAAAGATAAAAAAAACAAAAGACTGTGACTGTGTGATTTCTTCTTTAGATTAAGGGTTTAAATGTATACTGCTCCCCATTTATACTGTCTAACCCTTTGTTGAATAATAGCGTGATGTTGTGTTAATATTACGGAATGCTTAACTAATAAAAATCGTAAACTGAAAATACTGAGTAATAATAGCAGTTAAATCGTGCAATCTTATCAATGGATTGTCTCAAGTAACGCTATACTTAAACATGCGCGTGCGCAGCCTTCAGTGTTGAAACGTTCCGCGCCACGGTAGGACAGCGCCGAGTTTGTGTATTTTTTTCCGTAAATCATTGACCGGGTACATTGTAACTGTAAGTATTTTTTGTTTATTTTTTTTGTTTTATATTTTATTGTATTTTTTATGTGGTCGGTGTTATATTTTTTGTTTTTGATGGTTTGTTTTTTATGTAAACAAAGATGCGTTTACCTGTTGTTAATAATAACATTAAATCGTTTCCAAAACTTAAACGTAAAAATTACTAAGGACCTAAAAGCAAACCATTTCAATGCGCCAGCGCCGCCCGCCGTTATGGATACAAATATCGATGTTTTATTTTAATTATCAAATATTTTAATTAACCGACTTTAAAGTCGTTTTCAATTAATTTCAAATAGGATTCTTATTAATACTTGACTTCATGAATAGTATGTATATATATCGGATATATATGCAATATCAATTGTTATTCATTAACACGCAAAACTGAACTAATAAAAATAGCCTTCAGTCGTTCGTTTAATGATTAAATGAATTAGGGCACAAATAACTATAATATTAACGTCATCCAAGTGGAATTTAAAAGATTTCGCTCAATTAGGTCATTTGGGTCCAAATGCTATAAAATTTTAAAATAAAAAATAGCCGATTTAGCCGTTACTTCATTAAGGATAAGTCCACATTTCTTTCGGAAAAGATCTAGTTGTTTAACACAAACAAACAACATGTTTCCCCTTTACGATTTGATAACTCACAAATTCTTAATTACCCATTTAATACACAGTTAAATTTATAAAAGATCCTTGACTCGGTTTCCTATGTAGAAAAAACTAAACTCAAATACCTAGGTATTTAATGCTTCGAAATAAACCTAACATAATATATGAACGTCACCTATTATTTCGCTAATTACCGATGCAAACGTAGATAAAAAATATTGACTGAATGCAATATAAAATCAAAGATAATAAGTACCTACATAATATTACATCTGCGTCGTTGGCCGAGTGGTCGCAAGTGCGACTGCCGGGCAAGAGGTCTCGGATTCGATTCCATCGGGCAAAGTATTACTGAGTTTTTTAAAAAAAACTCAGTAATAGCACGGAGTCTGGAATTGTGCCCGGTATATGACAATAGGCTCACCCCCTTTTACATGGGACTCATAACTTAAATAGTGAAAAGTGGGTGTTACGTTGTACAATGGCATGAACTGGCGTTATGAGCACCTCTGCGTACACCATCGGTGATAAAAGGCTTGATGTTATGTTATAACATCACACCGCTTAATGCCTGAAGAGCCAAGCAGAGTAACACAATATAACAGCTACTCTTTTTTTCAAATTCAAAGATTATTTATTTAAATAAGGTACCTACAGATAGTGACTGCACGCTTGGTGCGGTGGCTGGGCAACCGGCTGCCGTGCAACGTGTCGCGGGTTCGATTCCCTCACGGAACAACACTTTGTGTGATCCACAAATTGTTGTTTCGGGTCTGGGTGTCATTGTGTATGTGAACTTGTATGTTTGTAAACGCACCCACGACACAGGAGAAAATCCTAATGTGGGGCCAAGTTTAAAAAAAAAAATAAAAAAATAATGTTTGTCATTTTATAATAACTTAGGTCCTCTTATTTAGCGAGCATTTTGTTATGAGTTTTATCCTGTCTCCTCTATGATAAGGTATATGCCTATTGCCCTATATCGAGAACTGTGAGAGGAGACAGTAATAACTAAGGAAAATAAAGAAGTTCATTATTCATAATTTTAAACATAGGATATAGTTATAATTTTCTACTCGATTCGAAAACTGAATTCTGAATCTTACGCTTTACTGTCACGCTTGAAAGTACCAGCTAAATAAATAAATAAATTATTCAGAATTTAAATATGTTGAATATCTTTATGCCATGAATATTCATTTAAGTTCCATTTTAAGTAAACTAATATTAACTTTATAGTTCAGTCACCTAACTGTGTCCTATCGTCATCTTACATGTCGCGGAGACACTAACGGGTAACCGGGGCTCCGACTCGACGTGCAGGAGAAGGAACGGGGTGGTTTTTAGTCAGTAAGAGTCTGACACTCCTTCCCGCCTCACCCAGGCGGGAGCAGTCATTCGATGATATTCCCCGCTTAAAAAAAATCGCCATGTTACATTCCAAATTACTAATTGTGCGATACTAGCTTTTGCCACCGGCTTTGCCCGCTTTCCCGTGGAACAAAAAGTAGCTTTTGTGTTATATTTCAGACCACGGTCTTCCAAACTATGGATCACGACCAATTGGTGAGTCGTAAGCCAATTTTTAGTGGGCCTTGTGAGTACAATGACGCACTACCAACTGTTTTATTTTTCACTAGCGACCCGCCCCGGCTTCGCACGGGTGCAATATGCATGTATTATACATACAAACCTTCCTTAAAAATCACTCTATCTATTAAAAAAAACCGCATCAAAATCCGTTGCGTCGTTTTAAAGATCTAAGCATACATACGGACATACAGCGAAAGCGACTTTGTTTTATACTATGTATTGATGATGTATTGATATTTGTAACGATTGAATTGAATTTTGAATCGATTTTCTTTGTAGAAAAAACTAAACTCAAATATCTAGGTATTTAGTGCTTCAAAATAAACCTAACATATGAACGTGACCTATTATTTCGCTAATTACAGATGCAAACTTAGATAAAAAATATTGAGTGAGTGCGATATAGAGGTAAAATCAAAGATAAATAAGTACATAATATTACGTCTGCCTCGTTGGCCGAGTGGTCGCAAGTGCGACTGCCGGACAAGGTGTCTCGGTTCGATTCCCGGGTTGGGCAAAGTATTACTGGGTTGTTCAAAAAAATCTCAGTGGTAGTATGGAGTCTAGAATTGTGCCCGGTATATGACAATAGGCTCACTCCCTATTACATGGGATTCATATAATAAAATAGTGAATGTGGGTGTTACATTGTACAGTGGCATATTTTTTTTTTTAAACGTTGCCCCACACTAGGATTTTCTCCTGTGTCGTGGGTGCGTTTACAAACATACAAGTTCACATACACATGACACCCAGACCCGGAACAACGATTTGTGGATCACACAAAGTGTTGTTCCAAATAATGTGCACCTACGCCTACCCTTTCAGTGATAAAAGTCGTGATGTTAGGTTATGTTATGTTATGTTATGTTATGTTATGTTATGTTATGTTATGTTATGTTATGCGTATAATAAAGCAACAAAACAACATTAATTAGATGATTTTAATAGAGAATCATAAAAATATAATTATGATAAAAGTAGGTATCTATAGTTTACAACGCTAATCATAACTATAACTGCGATATTTTATTGTAAGTTAATTTATGTAATTAACATAACTAACGATGTTATTTAACTGGTATATCTGGTTTGTTAACTCACACATGCTCACTTCAAAGTACATAAGATATGTACATACTTTTCGTCAGTAATGTTCTGTTATGTATGTACACCCGGCCACACGTCAATCTATACAAAACCAGTTTATCCTGGTGTCGCGTCGCATCATCTTTCAGCACATTTAACGCTCAGTTTATACTGGTTATGTAAAGCTCGATGTGTAGCCGTGTACACATACCTTGAAGGTACTGTTACATTGAGTTGCTTGCTCGTTCTTCTCCATTCGAAACTACCTACATTTTAGATTTAAAACGAGCGCCTAGCGTCACTGACAGACAGACGGACGGACAATTCAATTATTGACGTTTCAAAGGTGGTAAATTAAGGATTAACTCGTCGAGTACCGGTTTTGTAGACACAATTATAGAACAATAGGTTGCGGTCACCGGTGACCGCTTGGTGTTTGACAATTTAATTGAAATAAATGCTTTGACTTTGATTTTGACATAACTTAACATCACGCCTTTTATCCCTGAAGGGGTAGCCAAAGGTGCATTACGACACTTAATGCCACTGTTTAATGTAACACCCACTTTTCACTATTTATGTTACAAGTCCCATGTAATAGAGGGTGAGCCTATTTCCATATATCAGGCACAATTCCAGACTCCGTGCTACTACTGAGATTTTTTTAAACTTTGCCCGACCCGGGTATCAAACCTGAGACCCCGTGCCCGGCAGTCGCACATGCGACCACTCATATATTTCAGATACAATTTTTCCTCTTCATGACGTCAGTAGCCAATTGCAATACGCAACACTCATTTTCAGACCTCAAGAATGTGTCACAATCATTCTGGGTCATACAGAGAAATTAGTTTGAATAATAAATTACGTTTGCATCAAATAATATTTAGGTTTTCCTTCCTTTTAGGTAAAGCCTAAATAGCTATTAGGCTTTGCAATTACTCAATTCTGAGTTCTGAGTCTTGAAATGCTATGCTAATGTTAGATCTATATTTTAACTAGTTTTCCGCGTGCATGTTCGGCCAGAATGACATATCAATGAATTAAGGTAGCCTACATGTATTGTGCCCGCGACTTCATCCGCGTGGAATAGTTTTTACAGCTCCTCTCCGGTAGATGATAGCGTGATAATATGTAGCCTATATCTTGACTCAACCTGTAAGTAATATTTATGCAAAATTTGAAGTAAATCCATGCAGTACTTTTTGAGTTATTCCCGGACACACATACAAACAAACAGACAAAAATCTAAAAACGGTTTAGCCAATCACGAGATAATCGCGCACAAATATACATACATAATGCAGGTCAAACCGAAAGCCTCCTTCTTTTGAAGTCGGTTAAAAATATAACGCCTTTTATTCTCCAAAAACAAATAAACAGAGATGTGTATAATATAACATACAGCCCTCTTCGTCAGTCCTATATAATAAGGAGGGAGCCTATTGCCATACACCATGGCTAGGTCATAATTGGTAAAGTGATACACTATAAGAACTCCTCTACTTACCCATTAGTAGGTAAAAAGGTCGCATCTATTATCAGGCACCCGCATCCAAGTTTTTAAGTTATGACAGATTTTTTCAAAAATAGTCTGGCATATATTTTAAAACTGCATTCTCAATGCATACTCAACATTACTTGATTAAACAGTTGACTAACGTTCGAATACTGAAAGGCTATTCAATTTTAA